AGAGAGGAGGAGCTGCGGGGCACGGCCAGCCCCCACAGGCCCCGTCTGGCCCCTCCAGCGCCCACCCCGGGCGGGCCGATAGCCCACAGCAGCCACCGACCTGCGGCTGGCTGTAAGGCAGAGTCAGCTGCAGGGATCCCTGGGAGAGGGCCACGGACACCCCCTGCCACGCGGCACGGCAGAGACCTGGGGGGAAGTCCTTTCTGACCCGCGGAGGGGCAAGACTTTCCGTCAGTCGCAGCCTTGGCTGCAGCGGCTCTCCGCCTCTGAGGGAAAAATTCCCTCCTGGCCCCATATGGGGCCCAGCAAAGCCCTGAAGCCTGGGCAATCCCCACAGCAGAGCGCAGGCACGGCACGGCACGGCACGGCACGCACAGGTCCTCTCCGACCACTGCCCATCAGCCTCGCGGACAGATTCCAGGTTCCCCAGATGTCTCGTCCGCTGCCTCTGTTTTGACGCTGAAGACGTTTTTCCTGATCTCCCCATCTGAACCCGCTGCTGCAACCGACTGGTCTGTGTCCAACTCTGCACCCAGAGCCAGAGTGTATTTTACCTCTTCTAACAAAGGAAAGTTTCCTATATCCCTCCCTCCCTCCCAGTATGTTTTCAGTTTTATATCCGAAAGGCCGAGAGGGATCAGAGTATCAAGATAACACCTAGTTAACACTGTTAAAACCAACAGTGGGGCAAATTCTTCTCAAAATTATGCCCACCAGATAAATATTATAAATTGTTAAATAACATGGGTGTATAATTTACACTTTTCCATTTTAGCAAACATGTCATAAATATATTGAAGACATGATCCTTGGTTTTCATGGGGAAATGAGATAGTCGCATTTATTTTGTTGGTTTAACTTCATTATAAATTAGCAATTATGACTCTGCAACAATGAATTTCAAATGCTCTTTAATGGAGACAATCAAAGCTATAATTACTAGCACACATGGGGTTGATTTGGGGGTGGGGTGGGGTTGGTTTTGTTTACAGTGGCTATTAAAAAGAAAAAGATGTTGGACTTTAGGGATGGTCCTGCTTTGAGCAGGGGGTCGGACTAGATGGCCTCCTGACGTGCCTTCCAACCCTAAATTTCTATGATTCAGTGATACTGTAATCC